CTTTCCTCATCTCTCTTCAATTCTTCCTCCCACTTCTCTTTCTTTCCTTCTCTCCTTGTCCTCCTCCTTTCCCTAGCATCATCATTGTCATCTCGCACTCGTACCCTAAACAGTTATAGATGTAAATGCTTCCTTCCAGGTCCAGGCAGACCTCCAAAGAACCCACGCACTTGCACGTGGTGTTCGGAGGTGAAGTCACAATTGAAATATGTGTTCCCAACGAGCTCAGGAAAACGAGAATTCTGCTCGGAAACGTGCCTCTCGGAGTACAGAAAGGCTCTTCGGAAGGTAGGAACGATTTTATTTGTTTTCTTGTTATAAACTTATGAACCGTATTCATGTTGACAACTGTGGAAAGGAACGAATGAGAACGAATATCTTCACAATACAAGAGATGTATTTAACTGGTTTTGAACATATCTTCGTCAGAAATACATGTATTTCTGACGAAGATATGATCGAAACCGGTTTATTACATCTCTTGTTTTGTGAAGATATTCGTTCTCGTTCATACCTTTCCACTTTATATACTTATATGCTGTAATGTGATCCTGTACTATATCATTTCGATGATAAAGTGACTGTGTGAACAAGGAATATTAACCTCACATTTCTATGACCCCAGGGCACTTGTGCCAACTGTGACAATGTCATCCGCTCGACACCAGTCAAGTGTGAGACGTCATCAGGCCGTCGGCGAGAGCTGTGCAGCAATGAGTGCCTTAAGGCCTGGGCCAAAAAAGAAAAGGACAAAGAGCAGCAGCCAGACACAGAGGAGGAAGCAGGTGTGGCCTCTTCATCCTTCTCCTCGATGACGAGCCCGCCCTCCAGCATGTCCCCCTCCTCGGGCAACGGTGTGTCACCCAACGAGAAGGCCTCCCTAGGCCCGGAAGCAGCTGCGGGTAGGAAAGGTAGATTGGAGGCCATTTGCTAGTGTGAAAGGAAGGAAGGTTGGCAGTGGGGACCTCCCGGCCAAGACTCCATAGTTGGGCGAGGGAGACGCCAAAGGCTGGTAGGGCTTGCAGCATCTCTGGGGGAAGGGAGGGTTTGTTAAGTTGAGGGGACCGCTTCTCCCTCTTCTTCACTGTGAGAAGAGAAATGAATGCTGGAAGGAGTGTGCCAAGCATTTGGCGTCTCCTCTGCACCTGCTCTGGTATGCTTTGCCAACAACGGCCCGTTGGTAAGGAAGTAGGTGCAGCACCTGACAGCTGTTAGGACAAAGTGGAGAGAACATTATTCAACAGTTATGTCAAAATAGCATGGTAAAATCTAGGTTATGGTATAGGAATGAAAGTTGCATGTTTGAATGGATGTGTTCACTGTTGCTTTTAATTTGGATTACAACTATGAATGTAAGCTTTGATAGTATGTCTTCTTATCTGGTAGAAAGCTGTCTCCTGTAGAACCAGGGTAGATAACCAAGGACATTTTGAGGTGAAAAGCTTTTCACTGATTTTCATGTAGGCACTTTGGATTTTTTTTTTGTTGTTGATCTTCTTGGAAGCATAGAAAGGAAAATACTGTTGTATGGTACAAATAGTATACAACAACTCAATTTAGATCTGAGGAGGTTGGCTGCAAGTTTACCACCATGTTTCAGTTCTTGTGCTTGAATATCAGAAATGAGTTAGAGGACCGGTATAAAGGCTATATATTCTCATATAAATTGTTCATGCTTAGTGTGGATCATTGTTCAAAGGTTTTTTAAATTTGAATTTTGTTTGCTAATAGAGACAGTGATTATGCTCTTTGGATTTTTTTTTCACTTTTTTTCCATTAGTAAAATCCACAGATGTGAAATATAATCTTTGTTGATTGTGATAGTATTTGAAATGAAAAATCTGAAGCACAAATACTGCTGAAGCTTCAGTGAAAATGGAGAAATGTTTGCACTCAGTTTTATAAAGGAAGGAGCTGCAGATTCTGAATTAACTGTTGTTTTTGGGGCAGTTGTCTCTTGAGTTTGATTTTGGTAAGTAAACTGATAGAAGTCTGACCTTTTTGATGCCCATGATGCCTAGATCTAAGTGCTGTCTTGTAGATGTAATCTGATGTCAGTGCATGTTGTATGAAATATGTTCTTTGCTAGAGAATATTTTAATTGGTGGTTCTCTATGTTTTTCCCTGATGCTTCATACATGGGTTGGCATACTAAGCATAAGGCATGCATTTCTGTTTTTCTACAGTATGAGTTAGAAAAAAGATTATCTCTTTTTTGTCAAGTAACTGAGATTGCTGTTGGATAAATTATTCATAGTTTCTAAACTTATAAACAAAGAAAAGACAAAAAAAGAAACTATTTACATTAGCTTGTGTCATTAAAGTCAAGTTTCTGAGAAGGCAAAAAGGATCGGTTACACGAGTCACCCCTTGCAGGGCGGGGTCTAAGTGCTGCAGCCTTGGCACAGATAGAAGCAGCTGCAGAGTTCAATTGGGAAGACTACCTCAGGGAAACCAACTCCATACCCTCACCTGCCAAATGCTTCAAACAGGTAACACTTCTGCTTTTAGGTTTTTTGTCTTTTTAAATTTTACTTGAACTTTTTCCGTTCTTTCTTCCATTCCATGTCTTCTTTTCAGTTGTCTTCTGTTGCTCCATTTTCTTACATACTTTCTTTTCTCTTTGTTCTTTTCTTTTTTCCCTTATTCTTTTACCCCTTCTCTCTTGTACTCTCTTCACAGTTTCCCTCTCCTTTCCCCTTCTCTTATGTGCCCTCCTTATCCATTTCCCTTTTATCCTTCCTTTCTCTTATGCATTATAATTACTTTGAAAAATTGGAATAGGCACTATTGCTTCATCTTGCCTTGCTTGGAGTCTCATCCTTCTCTCCTTCCTCTCTCCTTCCCACAGCACAAAATCCCCCCCAAGAATGAGTTCAAGATCGGCATGAAACTGGAGGCACTGGACCCGCGCAACCTGACGTCCACCTGCATTGCTACAGTGGTAGGGACATTAGGCCCTAGGCTGAGGCTCAGGCTTGATGGCTCTGACAACAAGAACGACTTCTGGCGCTTGGTTGACTGCAACAATGAGATCCACCCTATTGGGCATTGTGAGGAGCATGGAGGAATGCTACAACCTCCCCTTGGTAAGGCTGTATATATTTTTCAGGAAATGTGTTGTTTAATTTTGACTTCTTATATCAATTATACGTCAGTATGCAGGTTTAAGTGAATTTCCATAAAAATCTCTATGTTGTAAGGCTTTTTCAATGCTCTTTCTAGGTTTCCGCATGAATGCTTCATCCTGGCCGATGTTCCTCCTGAAGACGCTGCAGAATGCAGAGGTATCCCCTCCACACATCTTCCGCACAGAGCCGCCCACACCTGCCAAGAACTACTTTGAGGTTGGCATGAAGCTAGAGGCTGTTGACAAGAAGAATCCTCAGCTCATTTGTGCTGCAACTGTTGGTGAGTCAGAGACAAAGGACCTGCTTGTCTTTTGGCCATTTAGGGAAGGTCAATTTCACAGTATTTAGCAGAAGTTATTTCCATTAGTGTTTGTGATGGTTTGACTTTGTTGCAGATTAAAAACATTTTTGAAGTACTTTGATTCTTACATATTTTTATACACTAAGATTTTCAAGGAATTTGGTCATTCTTTCAATAACAACACTTTTGCTTTATATGAATATTATATATGTTCCTTGTGCTTTCATGCACCTCCCTTCCCCACCTGCAGGTGCCGTGAACGGAGACATGATCCACGTGACATTTGATGGCTGGAGAGGTGCCTTTGATTACTGGTGCCGCTATGATTCCAGAGATATCTTCCCTGTGGGATGGTGTGCTATGTCAGGGCACCCTCTGCAACCCCCAGGCCAGATGTGTGAGTGGCTTTGGTTTTTCCTATGGGCTTTCTTAGAGGGGATCTCCATGGTTTGTCACCCCATTAGTTAACATATCACTCATGGACATTTTTGGATGCATTGTTGATTGCTTTTCACTTTTTCGTCGTTAGGGTTCCGAAAGTTTTTACACACGACTGTTAACACAAAAACCTATGTGAAACAAAAGGTAAAAGAAAGTACGCTGTGAGATCATATGAACATAAGTGAACTTGCACTCCAAACCTGTATACAGGTACCCAAATCTGAAATTTGTGCCCACTGCTAAACTTGCACTCCAAACCTGTATACAGGTACCAAAGTTTGAAGTTTGTGAGCACTGCTAAGGAGAACTACAGTATACATGGATTTTACATGTCTGAATAATACATGTCTACCTTCCAGCCGCTGAAACAGGCTGATACTGCTGCACCAGGGCACAGAGGCACAGTCGAGTTTTGGTACTGATTTACCTCCTGGACTCATTAATGGATAAGGGCTGATGCAAAGCCATCCAAAGCAAACTAAATAAGATGGGAATGATAAAAAAAAAAATAAAAGCAGCTTAAAGGGCATCTGATATTGGGCTGCTAACCCACTATGATCATGGTGACATGACCATGCCTTCATGGAAAATTTTTGTCATTTTGAACATGCTGTCATGGAACAAAATGGCCATGGGCTGTTTGACGCGAACTTGCCATTATGGCCATGACGGAAAAGATTGGAAAAGACATGGGTGCCCCATGGAGTGTGATAAGACTCTTTTGGTGTTTAGAAGGGTGCTTTTGCATTATTCCCATTGATAAACGGGTATGGAATGTAATGTTTGCAAGCTGTGACTGGAGGAGCACCGTCTCCAGGACACCATTCCATGCTCAGCATCAGGCTGCCCAGTGGACACGCGCAATCGTATTCCTGGCTGCTGTGACTAGCGGTGCAGGTTGTATTATGGAAAAGTGAAAAAAAAAAAAAAAAAAAATATATATATATGACACAAAATAAACTTGCTGTGTCGCCAGTACTGTGACGCTATATCAGGGCTCGCCCTCCGATGCAGCAGCGGGCCGCGGCTGGTGGGCGGGCAGAGTCTGGACCCACCCATGTTTTGTAGCACCCGAAATCTTTCTTTATCCGGCTTCAAATAACTGGTGGCAGAGTGGGGTAGCCCTAGACCGCTTTTGCCAAAGGAGCGATATGGCAAGACTACGTACGCTGGCATATGCGCCACATGCTCAAGATAGTAGCCACTTACGTAACTCACTGCCCATGTTTTCAGCCATGTGATTGCTGTGACACAACCGAATACAACAGGTTAAACGGGCAGTTGTGCTTGATTTTTTAAATGAATTTTTGAAAAATGTTGATAGCAAAAGAAGCAGGAGAGAAGTGGACCAGCTGTTGTTCTTTCAATGGCATCATTTTGATTATGGAATAGATGATAGTCCATACCCATCTATCTCAACCACGCTTGATTCTTTCACAAGAAACCTGGTAAAAAATGAAGGGAGACGGATGACTTAAAATGTGATGAATCTCTCTTATCGCCTTTTACGCCATTTGTCACAGGTCAGCGTGTATCTGTCTGAACTCTTGTGCTGATTGATGATTGCCCTATGTTTCACAACATCTGACATTTACATTTTTCTTTTGTATTTGATACCCCCCAATCCCTTGCTCTTTGTTGTTGTTGGAGGGCTTAGGAGCCTGTTACAGATGTCAGATGTAGGGAATCACCCCTGCCTTGGACCTCAACCCTCTTCTCAACTAATTTTGCAAGGTCTTCTCTTCTCCACCTTTCCTTTTCCTTCTCTTCTTCATCCCTTCTGTTCTTCTCCCCTAAAGTGTGAGAAAAATGAAAAAAATTGTCCTTGATGGCCACCGAATGGCATGGTATTTCCTTGGTTGCTAGTCTAGGCCTTACCCCTTATGAGGTAAGGGATAGATTCTACCTCTGCCCTGAAGGGAAGACAATTTATTTCAGGCTTACCATGGCCAATAATGAAAGTTTTTACCTTTATTAGGGGCAATTAGGCTTGCGCCTTCATTAACTAGCCTATCTAAATTTGATTTTATTGGTTTTCCAACCCCTGCCTCTTCTTTGATCATGCCCCTGATCATTGATACTAATACTCCCTCCTTGATGTTTACTGACATCTCTATCCATTCTGAACCATCCACCCAGGTCATTACTCACCCTTCAGAATACACCACTTCCAACATTCTGCTCCCCATCTACTGCACAGTCTACTTCATTGTCAACCCCCTCCCCCCTTCATTACTACTTTTCATTCTTATTGTCCTCCTTTCCTCAGTACTACACAACTTCATGCCACCCCATCTTCCTCTCACCCTCATCTTTCTACTGCTTCTACCTCTACAAATCTTTTAAGTACTCTCATTTGCCCAGCCAAGTGGGATCGATTCTTTTTGATTCTCCCCACAGCCCCCTTACTCTGACAATACTCTTCTTTTCCAACAAAGTCTCATAAAAGCAAGTAGGCTAAGTTTCCTTTTACAGTCGTTCCGATTATCCACACCTTTCCACAGTTACATCCGAGAACCAGCTTGTGCACAATCAAACCTGACTGACCTCACTGACAGATCTAATCCTGCCAAACCTAACCCCTCTCATAATATTGGTACTGAACTGTTTGTCTCCCCAATTGATTGTCCTGTCAACGACAAGGGCTGGTGAGACTGAGAATGACTGTTTCGCATACCACCTTGACTGTGATGCAGTGGCAGTACAATGCTACTCTATTCCTCCCAGAGGAAAGTGTAAATCCAACACTGATATTGCTAGGATTTGTTTCTGTAAAGATGACCTCCTCCATGAAGTGCATATTGGGGAGCCACCTGCTCTGTCTGTCCATAATCCCTTCCTCATCTATGTCAGAAATATTGTATTTTTTTGCCATCCAGCCAAACACTGTTGCTCCACAGCCCACTGCCTTCTTTATGTGCCCAACCTGGTCATGTTCAAATTGCTCTGCTTAGTCACGTACATGTGCCAATTGTAGTGGTTCCCATAATGTATTTTATAGGAGCTGCCCTGCCTACAAGCTCAAAACTAAGCAGTTCTCAAATTCAAAGTAGACCTCATTTGACATAAGGCCAGACAGGAAGCACAATGATGAGGTTTATCTCTACCTATTCCTTCTCACTTACCTGTTGCAACAGACAACCTAAATGTTCCACTCAATCTTCCTCTACCACATCCTCTCCTACACCCTCCTCTTCCCTTACTCCCTAGATGTCTATATCCTCTTCTCCTTACAAGAGAACCTTTCTTTCTCAGACCTTTCCACCCAATTCCCTTCCAGAAAGTTTTGAAGACATTCAAATGTTTCTAAACAAGACCCAAGAGAATGCTCTGATTCCTCATTCACCCTCCAATCCTTCTATTCCTATTCGCTCTACATTCAAAGTATTTGCCGATATCCATCCTCCTCCTCCTCTAATGTATTTTACATTACCCCCCTTCCTTCCACTCTCTTCCAATACACCCCATCCTCTCCTTCTCTATGCACCATTCCCTATTTGTCATGCTCATGTGGTCCTTCCGTTGCAACAGCGTCCTTCTCCGCATCCTTCCCATCCTGATAGTCTTCCTGACCTTCCCCAGTCGCCTTACCTCATTCCCTGGCTTCTTCTACTTCAACAACCATCTCTATCCATATTATCCATTGATTGTTTCTTAATGGGTCTTTTGCCAATTTTCCTTAATGAATATTCCTATTCCCTCCCCAGCCACAGATACACTCCATTTTGTCCAATCACCCTATACCCTAAACCCCTTCCTCTTTTGCTAATCTCTGCTTTACTTCATTTGCTCCCCACTCTTAACCCTTTTCACTTCCTTACTATCCTATAAAGCTTTAAAATCTTCGCCATCTAATATATTTTATCCTAATTGTTAACTCATTTTTACTCTTTTTGCTGCAGTATTTTACCATACTGTTATATGACCTTTGATATGTAGCACATTTATTTGTTTTTAATCTTTAACCTTTTTTTATATTAGATAAAAATGTATGTATTACACACTTTAGTATTATTTTAATAATGCACACATAAATTATATGCCTGATAAAACCACTGGATACCAAGGGCTGGTCAATATTACACCCTTTTATGATGTATTCCCAAGGGATATTTGTTGAATCATTTTTTGACTATTTTTTAGGTATATATTAACTACAGATAATAGGGATCCCCTGTAATTATGTTTTCACTGTGTAATAATGAAAAAAAAAAGGTAATGGGCATTTGTGGAAAAAAATGTATATTAACCCACTCGTCCCGGGTGTCACATATATGAGACACAGGGAAAAAATAAACAGTTTCGGGCTGCCCGCCAGTGCGATGCTGTCTCGGAGCCCTCGCGGCAAAAGCGGCGGGGGAGCGGGGGCGCCAGACTCCGGGGAAGCTTGCAGCTGCCCGGAGTCTGTCCGCCCGCCGATTTTGTAGCTGCCCGGATTTTTTTAATTTTGGCTACAAAATGTACCCCGGCGCGGGTGGGTTAAAAAACTTTTGACAAATCTTACATGAATGATAGCATTACACACCTTGTTATGTATCTATTATCTTTACTTCTACTTCATAAAATGTTTCATACAGGCATTTTGTATTATAGTACAGTGTTATATGGTGTGCTTTTGCATCCCCCATTATGAATTGCTTCCTTTGGCATCTGCAGGGGGCCCTCCCAGCAGCCGTTACAAGGCACGGGTCTTGAACATCCCTCCTCCCCTGGCTGGTTCCTCCAAGTCCCCGGAAGTGCCCTCAGCGACTGCAGCAAGCGACAAGAGCCCCTCCTCTGCGGCCAGCTCCCCCCTGGCCAAGTCGGGAGGCCGTGGCAGGCACCACTCCCCCACCACCCCAGGCAGCCCCCCCCTCCCAGCCACAGTCCACACCCACCAAGGCGGGCTCGCTTCAGAACTCATCCTCATCGACAAAGTCATCTACGTCCACCTCCGCCAAATCATCCTCGTTAAGTAAGCCATCATCAACCAGCAAGTTACCCCCTTCATCTTCGTCTTCATCATCACCTTCGCCATCAGCTACAGCGCTCACAGTCAGTCAGTCGAGCGGCAAGCCCACCTCATCTACTAAGTCATCTACATCATCGGGGCCGCCTGCTATGACCCCGCTCACTTCTACGCCCATCAAGACTCCTGCAGGATCAGGAGGATCGGAAAGCATCAATAGCACCCCCAATGCCAGCCAGTCCAGTGTACCACCCCCAAATGCGGGAACTTCAGCAGCCATCACATCCTCTACCACGCCTTCAGCCCTACCGCACCCATCTAACCCCAGAACACCTGAGCCCCCAACATCACCTTCCATCACTTCCTCGCAGAAACCCCTGGGTGCCTCGTCATCCTCCACCACCTCCTCCTCCTCTTCCTCTTCATCCTCTTCATCACCAATGGTTGCTGGGCCGGAGTCAACAATACCTGTTCCTCAACAAAAATCACCAAGTATAACAGTTACAGAACCAGATACCTCGACTGTCCACAAATTAAGTGCCTCAGGTATGTATTGCTGGTTTCAAGTCTTTCATCTTACAAATCTTGAATGTCTCACATATTCAGTGCTTTTGGAACTACTCACTTTTTGTTGTTATTATATAACATAAACATGTTCTCTCTTCAGTTGTCGTTTATGTTAATCATGGCTGCACGTGTGGACCATACCTGGACTCTGGTCGTGTGAGCGAGCTCCCTGTCCAGTTTGGGCCAGGGAGCCTCAACCGTGTTGTGCGAGAGTCTGTCCAAGCCCTGGTTGATGCCGCCCCTGACCCTCGTGCAGTCACTTCCCTCCTACCTCGTGGCAACGGCAAAGTTATTATCAAAGGTATTATCTTTTTTTTTTTTTTATGGGGAGAGGTTTAGCAAGGGTTAAGCTTCTCCATGGCTTAGTGTTTTATTTTCCAAAGATGAAGGATATTGTAGTCCTTGTATAATATGTGATGACATATCTAGGGAGACATTTTATTTAGGAGACAGACAAGGGATGAATTAATACTTTTCTTCGTCATGTTGCAGATGGGGATGCGGAAACCCATCGACTAACATCTTTAGAGAAAGTGGAGGATTTCTGGAGTGCTCTTGAGTCGCTCTTTGAAGATCTGATGTGCTGTGAGAACTTCTACACACAGCAGCCAATCACCCAGTGTACCAAGTGTGCGCGGCAGAGTCCTGCACAATTCAAAAGGGGTAAGAAACCCTTTTCAGACCAGTCCAGCCATGTTGATTGGGTCATTTAGTGTCACAAGATTCTGACTATGATTACTGATTTAGTTTGTCTGTGAAGAGGATGCTAAAGTTGTTCCAGTATATTCAGTAAAGAATTTACTTATTGCTGCCAGGGTAATGTACATTGTTGCCATGCCCACTGTGAGTTTAGTTTATGAATTGTCTAAACACATGGATGGCTCCTCAGTTGCTTAACCCACTAACGACGGGTGTCCCACATATGAGACACCTGAAAAAATAGACATTGCCGCGTGTTCTGTAATTGTAAAGCTGTATTTGGGCTCGTGCCCTGAAGCAGCAGCAGGCTAGACAGAATCCCGGGCAGCTCCACCCGCCGATTTTGTAGCTGCCCGTAATCTTTTATTTTCAGCTTCAAAATATACTGGCGTTAATGGGTTAATAACCAAAGGATCAACAAGAAGTACTACCTATCTAACCTGTATACTCTTTTCCATGATTTTTAGAGATATTCTTTTATCTAATATTACTATAGTAATTTTAATACCATTAATGACAATAAAGATAGTATTATGAAAAAGCAAGAAAAAAAGAAAAAAATCAAGAGAAAAGGAAATAGGTGAGGACACAAGGTCTTCTAGTTGAAGCCTTTGTGGCTGGGCATTTAGAGGGTCATCTGTGTTTAGACACTTTTTACAAAACAAAACTACAGTGAGTGTCATTTTCCCAGCAGCATTGGGTTAAAAGAGAGAAAATTTGAGTGTGAATTATCTGCCCCCAGACCAAGAAGCAGCCCAGCATGTGGCAGTGTCCAACAACAAGCGACCAGCCTCCAGTGAGCCCAGTGATGTCCTCAGTCCATCAAAAGTTGCCAAACGAGTATTACAAGGTTAGAAATTTTATTAGTAAATATTCTCACATAGAGATTTTTTATGTATTTCTATCTAAATGTTCATATAGGGTTTTTTGTTGAAGACCAAAAATGTCTCCACAATGATGAGGCGTTGTTAACCCCTTCATGATGGGCATGCCTATATCTGTCATGATGTAACGATGTGTATACATGTCATAACTCGCTCTAGTGATCGAGCAGGTGGGCTGGCTGTACACAGGACACGCACAGCCAGAAAGGCTATACTGTTGCATAATTATTATGTCACAGAAAGGTCTGGCCCTATCATGATATGGCTTAACATTGTTGAAGCCTCTCAAGTAAGTCTAATTGTGAAAGGGTACAGTTCTTTGAATTTTCTTTTTGCTTTTTTGCTTTAACTTTGCAAATTGTAAAGATATTTTATTTTGTGCTGTTGATGTATTTGAATGTTCATTACCTGTCTTTATATGTTGGTGTTAAATAACTGCATAAGGTAGTGGCACTGGTTTTCCATCCGGCACCGGTTTACTGTCCATTTTGGCACAAAAATCTGTTAGCAGCTTGCTATACAACCTGACAGGGTTATAATTTTTATGTATTTAAAGTTCAACCATTGTACCAGTAGTACCTTTTTACTGGATCTCCACTAATAATGAAGATATTCCTTTTTACATTGTTGGATATAAAAGAGAAGATCTTTAGGAATAAATAGAGGGTGTACAAAATGACAAAAAATTTAAAATGAAAATCCCAGCAGGTGGACAATAAATTGGTTCCAGAAGTGACCCTGGGACTAGTACCTGTCCACTTTTGGCGACTACTTCCAAAATCAAATAGGCCTATATAAATGAATAGTGGAGCCAGTTATGCACATGGCTGTGTACTCGAAATTTCCCCATGTCAATTGGTGTTGACACGTATGAATAGGTTATCCAACCATCAGCATGTCCGGATAACCTATCATCTGTACAAACTCTGTCAGGATGAACTATGACATGTCCACACATAAAAGCAGGAATATGTTTCCCACCCGCTGATGTGACTTAGCTTTAATCTCATTTCTCCTGCTGATGATCCCTTCATGGAAAAAATTGCCAATTTAGTGTCATTATCCCCACCTCAACCTCTTTCATCAGATGAAGAAGCTCCTGCCTCTCCAGCCCCAGATGATGATCCCCTACTCTCTCCATACCCTCTTCTTGATGACATATTTGAACAAGGTGCTCATGTCTCCACTAGCAAACATGAACAGCTACCAGGAACTTATGTTCCAGTACAGTCTAAAGCAGGTCTTTATGAAATGTCCCTATGTCATGTATCAAGTATTTTTGAGTTCAGGCATATCAAGTTTGGAATGAATTAGCACCAGTATAGTCCAGTTATTCCTCTTTTATATACTTTTTTTAACAAGTGTGTGTGTGTGTGTAATGCTGATTTAGTTAATCACAAATCAGCTAATTGTGAAAGAATATAAAGCAGTAGTCAGTAGTCAGACTTTTATCAACTTTTCCCATTTTAAGTGAACATTAATTCATTATTATTGGTCTAAATTTACAGAAAATTTTATTATAGGTGAGAGAAGCATAATAACACATTCTCTTTCAATTTTATTAATCTACTGACTTTTATTGCCCCCCCAAAATGTGTGTGGACGGAAATAGATTATTATCTGGAAAATAGATTTTTGGGGACATATTTCCAGGACATTAATTTGAGGCTTAATAACTTGGTTGTGTATTATTCAATTCACATTCTGGAGACATTAAATTGATGCTGAAGACTTCTACTTTCCATAAATATCTTGATTGTTTTAACTGAATGAAACTGGAAAAATTTATAAAGCAAAATATAGAAAAGAAATTACAAAAATTTGCTTAGCTGTACGGAAACTATTGCCACTACCTTATGTATACTAGACATGCATTTATTGGTTTTGTTGTTATTGTCGAAGCAGTTTCCATTTTTAACGTCAAATTTTGTCAATAAGGAATCACCATCAGTCACAAGAGATATAATATTTTACTCCTGTATTTGAGTATCAATAGTAGACAGAACATTGACACTGTGGTGAAAGGATAGTATGCTGGCTGTTGAGCCATATTCTTGAGTCATGCATTGATGCCCCTCCTCTTCCCCAGAGCCATCCCCCTCATCAGCAAGTGAGCCTGGGCAGAGTCCCCGGCCAAGAGGCGACCCGGCTGAGTGGACTGTGGAGGAAGTCATCACTCACATTGCGGCCACTGACCCTGCACTGGCCAATCATGCTGACCTCTTCAGACGGCATGTGAGTTGACAAGGCCTATTATACATTATAAACAGAAGCGTGTGCTTTCCACGCGAGTTTGTCTTGTACTTTCGCGGCTTCACCCATCCAAGAGGGCTCTTCTGCATGTTATTACTTTTATTTTTTCTTCATCTCCTCCTCCTCCTCCTTCTCTGTCTTCTATTAGAAAGAAATATATTCATGTAATATATCAGTGTTAGTTTTAGGTATTTTTTACAGCCTTTGCACTCACTAATACCTCAGCAGTTGTGTCTTAATTGACAGTTTTTCAAGGAAATTTAATAGAAATCACATTTTTTAACTTTGACTTGACCATACAAGTTTAAAAGGCTTTAAGATTAGGACTTGAAGCATCTTCCAAATGAGACACTCAAAACTGGAAAGCCAATTTTACTTCTTGGTTCTAATAAAAGTTTGTAGAAATAAAAATACTACACCTGTTATTTAAATGATTATCATAGTTGGTTCACAGGATCTTCACATTGTTTGTTACTTGCATTATGCTATTATTATTTTGACAATTAGTTATTTTTGTTTTAAATTAGATCATATCTATTATAATGTAGGCTTAAAAGTTCTTAGAAAGACCATTGATTTTCATATCGTATTTTATATTTTTAATGATAATTTTCCCAATTTTTATTTTTGTATCTGATAGCAGTTTTTAATAAAGAGATAAGAAAGTACTAATTAAAAAGATTAGGGACATCTCTGGGAATTGGGCAAGAAATTACACCAGGCAGATGAAGCTGCACCGGCTCCCATATTAGTTACATTTTAAATGCTCATCCCCAGACTGGTTTGATATTATCCCCAGTTCCTTTTCCATCATGGTCTGTTATTGTGCTTTTTGGTTCTTCTTGTGCGGTGTTCTCTTGCCATTTTTCCTTTCCAGTTCTTTTCTGTCATGTCTGTATTCTCTTGACAGGAGATCGATGGGAAGGCTTTGCTGCTCCTCAACAGTGACATGATGATGAAATACATGGGCCTCAAGCTGGGCCCGGCCCTCAAGATCTGTAACCTGATCAACAAAATCCGTGGACGCAAGCACCTTGTCACCTAACAGCGCTGGAGCAGTGTTTCTCACTCAACGATGGGCACCAGAGAGAGGAATTGCTCAGAAATTTGTCTCGTGGAATCATTTAATGAGTGGCTTATCTTTATCTTTATTTTATTTTTCATTGTAGTATTTTCTAAATTCTTTTTAGGTATGGGGAGCAGTTTCATTATCAGAATTATTATTATAATCTTTGCTACAAAAGAAGTTTAGTTAAATCCCACTTGTGTAACTGGAATATGTTGAAGAGTTGAAGTTCAGAAAGTTAAAAGAAAACTCAAGCTGAACACACCCACGAGGGAAAGCATAATGTGATGGAAACCTCTGGAATGAGATATGAAGTAGACCTCTTTATGGACTGAGACATTCATGAGTGACAAGTAATTATGCCTCGAATGGTGTAGTGACGTTGGCTCCAGTCATTTGGCTGCAGTGGGTATGGCTTGCATTTGAGTGACGGGTGGGCGTTCTACCTGCAGATTGGTCTAGTGGAAGCATTGTCCTGTTTATTATTATTTTTTTTTCTTTCTTAGTTCTTTGGACACAAGACAAACTCTGGGATTTTATAGATGTGTCCAACAGAGGTGATGACAATGCAACTTACTGTTTTGCTCGCATCTGCTGCTGTCTTTGGTTTGTGGGCAGATGTCTTGTCAGCAAATGACTATCATAACAGGAGAACGAGCCTTACAAAGAAAAAAAATATAAGAAGATAGGAAGAAGATTAAAGAATTTATGTAGATATTTTTATATACAGTCATGCATTTATTGCTTACCATTGCTTGCAATTATAGTGCAAATTACTTTTTGACGTTTACAACTTTGTCGTGTTTGGTGCGTCCCTGTTGCCCCCCCCCCCCTTTCCTCCCTCCCTCCAATGACTCTCTCAATGTTGTAGAATCACCAGTAGTTGTATTTTACTCCTGTTAGGTGTTTCATATCAGCCGTGGAAGTGCGTGCTGGCCATATCAAAACTCACCGATCTTATGCAAGTAAAATCAAGACTTGGACGAAAGGGAGCCAGCTGTGTGGGTGCCAGCCGTCTCAATGCCTTACAAGTGGCTTCCCTTGTCTTGTCTCTCCCTTGCCCTTATTTTCTCTCCTCCTCCTCCTCCTCCTCCTCACACTTGTAGTCTTGCAGAAATCTTTGCATTTGCCAGTGGTTGTAAATGTTTACTTTTTCAACTTAGCTTTAGAAGAGCTGTATCACACTAGAAAAAAAGAGAATAAAAAAGGACAAATTGTTTGTGAAATAAAGTAAAACGATAATTTTGACACTATATTTTGTAAGGAGTAATTTCTATTAGACAGGATATGACGTGGGTGTCTGCCAGCAATATTTCTTACAAGTATGTTCTCTACTTGAAGAGGTTTAGAAATCTATTGAACTTCTGATGTGTCTCCTCTTCTGTCAAACACATTTCACTGTTCTTTTCTCTTGCTGCAAGTAGGAGCAGTTGTCCAGACATTTTTGTGTGTTTGATGAAGTCGTTATTTACAAATGGGAGAAAAGACAGTAGATTATAAGAAGTTGATGTATATGGCAGTTACAGCATATTTCTTGGAAGAATAGAACAGTGCAGGGACATTTGAAGAAAGTTTAATATATGATTTACTGTGCTCTATGAATATGGACAAAGTCTCAAACAAATTGTTTTATGATTTAGATTAAAAACACATGAGATGATAGTGGCTGTTTATTCTAGTTGATAGGCCTTTTAATTGTTTTCCTGTTCAGAGTTGTTTGCAGATATCACAAACTCTGGTCCAGAGACCTTTCTACTCTGCTACATCTGTAAACTATGCCTTGGTAATTAGTACCTTGTAGAAAATCATCAAATGCATTTTATTTTTTTAATTAATGTATATTTATTGTTGAGTGTAGAAAGTTCTCTCTGGGATTGTGGTTGCCCAACATCCTTGTTGTTGGGGAATGTTAGGGCCCCTTGCCCACAAGGCCACGGGGTTGAGCTTGATTGGTATGGCGTACTCCAGGGGATGGAACATTTTGTCTTCAATTTGCAGGTGTTCGTTGGCTCTTTATTGTTTTGTTCCTCCAAATTTTAGACAGAATTCTTACAATCCTACACACATATGTAATCACATCCACACACACACAATCACACTCATGCACATGGCTCACTCTCTTCTTTTACACACTCACTCTCGCTCTCACTCTAATACCAACACCCAAACTCATGCAAATACATATGCACACTCTTGGTCTTGCATATTTTCTCAAGGATTGATTTATTGACTCGTGCAAACACATGCATACACTGAAAAAAACATGCACGCACACGCCCACATGCACACACACGCCCATATGAGCACACGCACACACACATCCATATGCGCATACACGCACACACACACAAAGCTGCATGTGCGCGCATGCACATATATGTATGGATAATAAATACCCCAGCACAGTGTCCACTTGTGCACCCCTGGAAATGGCCAGACCATTCTAAATATTATATGGATGTTGATGCGAATCAGAGGATGGCGCAGGAAAGGCATGGGCTCCTTCCACCAGGATGCCATTGCAGAGGCCCAGAAGCTGAAGTAGATGTAGAAGCAGTTGACTATTCCCATCTGTTAATTTTTGTTCCACGGCATTGAATTTAACATGGCAAGGAAGGAGGGAGGACCCAGGCGTTGTGGACTCTCCATGTGTGGCTGTGAGGTGCGTGTGCTTATTTTGAAAGGCCATGAAAGATTGTTAACGTGCGTGAGATTGCTTTGAAGCATGTTTATCCCTGAGCAGGGCTATTAACGAATATATCATAGGTCATCTATTCCTAACATGTTGAGTTTCATTCATTTATCTGTTCTTTTGGTTTTGACTATACGTTAGTGCTTGTTTACTTGTTTTGGATATTCCCGGAAAATCACAGAGAGGCTTGGATATACAGGATAAGTCATTTGTATCCAAAGGTACAACCTGAAGGGGCCCACCGTCATATATTAACCATGTGAGTTTTGTGCTGTTGTTTAATGCAGCACAAATTGATTCCTCTTGGATGGGTGAAGCCGCGAAAGTACAAGACAAACTCGCGTGGAAAGCACACGCTTCTGTTTATAATGTATCCCAGAATTGATTGAGATTATTTTCTCTCTCTTCTATTTTTAGTGCGTGTTATTTTAGTATTTCTCCCCATGTCCCCAGATGTGAAGGGGTTCAAAATTTGTGATATTAGATTAAGGCTGGTCTGCGTGATGCTAGTACAATTTTAAAGTTCATCTAAGACATACTTTACTGATAAGAGCTACAAATGACTTCACAGATGCTAGCCTTTGCATATTTTTAGCTGTGAAAGCCACAGAAAGATGGGGCACAGCAACCGCTCAGCTTGTGTCTAGGGTGAAGGTGGAGCGAGATGAGGTTGGTGTCAGGAGCTGGAGTTGAGCTTAGCAGGTTAACAGAACGAAATTCCAACCACGCTGGAGTGACTAAAGGGCCAACAATAATGTTGCTTTCAGTTGATTTGATTTTCTCTGATGAATATCTTCCAGCATGTTGATGACAAGAGCTGATATTGATGTTTACAAAGTTCACTGTGTAAGGAGTTTCATCCTTGGTTTAAGAAAATATAGCTTTGCCAACAAAGGAGCTCTGAAGGTAATCTTCAGATTTAAGTCTGCCATTTTTGTTTTTCTCCTTACTGCAGCCACTGTGTGATATTTACTTGTTCTTTATCTTAATAGGTTGTTGACAATTTCATCAAATTTGTTGCCAAACTGTGGAAAAGAAATTCTTGTTTATTTTACTTGCAATTACATTTTTTATACCAAGTCGGGATTCTCCTCCGAATCTGTTCCGTTTTTGTCTCAAAATGCAGGATGCTGCTAAGGCCTTGCTGTCTTTCCCCTAGGAGGCGGTTGCAACATTGCATCTCTTGGCACTGTAACTGGTGTATGCCCCAAGAAGTTCAGATGCACCACAAGAGACAAATTGTTGATACAAGTCCTGTTTTAGAGAAATTAAGTCTGATAATGGGAGGAGAAAAGAAGGAAGGCAGGATAATCATTTGAGGTTTTACCATGGCTTTAAGTTCTGTTTTGTTTAGGCTGACAATGATTGAGAGGTGGAAACCCATATCACCACAGAGGAGTAGGTATGCCTGCGATTTATCCTTTTGCCTAATATTTAGCAGTAGAGAAATTCAAGAAGACTGACAGGAAGAAAGTGAGAAAAAGAGAGAGAGAGAGAGAGAGAGAGATAGAGAGAGCAATAGGTTGAGTCATTAGTGAGATATTAGATTTAATGAAAGAAGGGAAAAGTGAATATATAGAAATGAGAAAAAGTTTCCTTGGCACATCTTACTAAGAAAAAGCAACTAAATTCATGCTCTCAGTCTGAATGGCAAGGGAAGTGTTTCTTGCCTCTTATCTCATAATTATCTGTGTTTTTATTTTATTTTTTTGCCCCAATGATTAAGGATCAAAAGAAAAGATGTTCTCGCTATGAGGAGGAAAGTGGATCTGTTCGCTGTTCTTCGTACCAGCTCTGGAGTCCTTGACTTTGTATACATAATTGCTGGGAGTCATTGTAAACATTATGTAATATATTTGGAAATTAAAAGCTGGATTCTTATTATCCTTAACTTTATTTTTGTTGTGTTGAGCACTTCTGTCATATTTTGTACAGAAGTATTGTGTTGTGTATACAAATGAGTAATTTGATATATAGGCACTAATATACAATATTGATTCTTCGTCTGAGATGAAAGCTGCAAGTATATGTTTCTGTCATTATATTAGAGGTTGCTTAACCACTTGCTGCTGGGGATAGCATGTGCATACATACCATGCACACTGTGTTTAATTTAGTAATTGTTTTATGTATAGATCACTCCACAAGTACCAAGTCACCTATGAGCCAATTATGAGAGCCATCTGTCTCACCTGCTTACCCTTTTCCTTGATTTTCTATATTTTCTATTATTTAATACTGCTGTAAGTAATGTCACTAACAATATAGTGATTATAATGTTTATAACAAAAATAACAGGGTCAATATTGATGGCAATAATAAAGTTTTCCTGCTATTTCAAAGAAAGGTAAGGTCACAAGATCTAAGCACTGACAGAGCCATCTATATACAAACATTTAACAAAAAGTACTAAGTGAACACAACATTTTCCTGTCACCATTGGGTTAATAACTTAGATTTTGATTATTTCTAATACCACCATAATTTATGAGTCAAAAAGAGAGAGAAAGAAAAAAACAAGAGAAAAGATGAAAAGAATATGAAGACACTTTAATGAGTAAAATCTGCAGCAATCTGAGAAGTACCTAAGAAAAGAGAAAGCCAAACTCAAAGATCTGCCTTTCCCCTTCCATCATCAACAGAGATGTTGGCTAATGCTGTCTTTATCTGGTTATGAACAATTAATGCTCCTAATGTGTTATAATTTCCAGTTCAGTTATCAATATTACTAATATAACTAAAATATCTTGTAATCATTTTCTTGGTTTGTATCTTCCTGGTGTTAAACACAATTTGCAATTTTACAGTGGCATTATATTGCTGAATAAAAAAAAAGTCAGTTGTGATGAAAAAATTGGATATTTTTACAAGAGCAAACAATTTTATAAAAAATGGCATCAGATTATTCAGTCCCAGTGATAACTGTACATTTGTGATAAACTATTATTTCTGAAGCAAAGTTTTATCCTTCTTCTTTCTATAAAGAGACTTTATATATTTGTAAGAAAATATGCAAAC